AGTTTTGAGGGAATTGAAAACGTTGCCTCCCAATAAATTGATTTATCAATGCGGATTTCGATCCCGCATGATGTAATTCACTTTTCCCATTTTCATCACTACTCTGGCAAATTTGCATGCAAACAATTGTTTAATCCGATTAGTTTATCTTCTTTCTTTCACAACACACCATGTCAATGGGTTTTCCATCTCACAGCGGCTATTCTAACACGACACAGGACATACATATATCACAAATGAAGGCTTAGGTTTGGGGAAATGACAAAAATTTCAAAACGTGCCCGAATAAATTACAGCAAATCCACCCGCCTTTGGTCGATGCGAAAGGAGAAATACGAAGATATATAGAGACCTTTCGCCATGGAATTTTGAATTAGACACACGCCGGGGCGAGGGGTGCACACATAAATGGTTGGTGGAACCATTTCAATTACCATAAGCGATGATGAAATTCTCAGAACAACCAATTCAGTAAAATTTCTCGTGTTATCTAACATGATATTTTCGTGTTAGCTTTTCAAATTGTTCTCTCACCGGTTTTTCTTAATAATTTGCCGTAGAAATTTAGTCCGTTTCGCTCACTATCACTAGAGGAATTTTAATTAATTTCGACTTGATGCTTGCCACAAATTGAATTTGATGTAACTCATCTCAAAGCATTTGTGTTTTCCGTCTTACAATTTTGTCTAGCAAATAACAAATAGCTGAAGGTGGAATTTAGGACTTTTAATCAGCACTGAAAGTCATCTAAATGCCAAAGCTCTATCCTTTCTATCATGATGTTTCATTGAAATGGTGTAATAAGATTGAATTAATCAAAGAAAATTACAGGAGAATGGTTATGATATCCTTCATGAAAATTTTGAAAATTTATGAATAAGATGTGTTATTGGATCAAAATTGCGAATCGCTTATCGACGAAATTGAGGTCGAATATTGCAGATAGAGAGCGATTGTTATAATTGAAATGTAAGTTATTGATAGTATTATTCATGGTGTGTCTCTCGAATGATTCAGCCCTAAACACTCATTTCGACGATAAGCAAATGACGCCCTTCCGATAAATTATATAGTGGCAAATCTTTATGGGGCACTTGACCTCACCATCAGGCGATCGAGAATTCCACACAAAGAGAATTAATAAATTTCAGTCCTAAGTATCACATCTATTTGGGATGCCCAATAGAGCGTGATGCGAGTAGAATGATTCTATCTGGTAAAGTATATAAAATTAATTATAATTGGTAATGTTGTGAAATTTGTGGCAGCGGCCAATTCACCAAAGAAATATCGGCTCGATTGTGAAAAGTGGGAATTATAGCCATTTATCGTGAAATACATTCTGGGATATAATTACAATGATGAATAAGGGGGGTGGGAGTTGGTGCTGTTTAGGCTCCAGCAAACCACAGACACATTGTTGAGGCGTACGAGCCACTAAGAGAGTGTTTTGTGTGTATTTAGTGGGGTATTATTATAAATATCAGCATGGATTGAATACCCGGAGATGTTCTTTGCAAAGTTTTACGCTTGGAAGGGCTTTTTAAGCACTGAGCGACTTTCTCATGAATACACTGTAAATTCACCGCCCCCATCCATGGAAACTGAATAAATAGTGCACGTTAAGAGCGTGAAAGTCCTTGAGCTTCCATTCTCGCGTCGGTTTTGCTGAAAGTCAATGGTGAATGGCAACTCATGTAAAAATTCTACCATTTTATCGTGTGAAAGGATGCAGAACTCTGATTGTCAAGAAGATACTAATGCAGTATTTCTCCCATTTTATACATTAATGATATTTAATGTTGCAATCATGAAAATACACATGCTTACGCTCACGTTTATATAAACCTTTTAAGCCAATGTTTTCGCAATTAAAATATTTTCCAAGGAAGAAACCATAAGAATTTCCAAGACCATACCCTATTTCCCGGAAAATCACATCGAAAAGACAGTGGAAAAGAAGGGTGGGTTTCCTAAAAATTAATTTATGGCCTTCAGAGTGATTTTCCGTGGCTGAATTGCTTGGTAGAAAGTCAAATAGTCCAAAGGGAGTGAATTTTTCCGACAGTGAGATGCGTCCAAAGGCAAATGGGACAATTTCCTTGCTCTGTTTCTCCCATGAAAAACCCACAATTTATGTTGAGGAGTCATTCGGAACAACTGGGAAGTGCAGCCACTTTCAGATTAGATCATTGTACCATCATCATCATTCTTTCTCATCGTCTCATCTTCTGTAAGACGCTTTTTCTCCTCTGCCATGCAAGAACATCTTCTTGTTTTTGTACACGAACGTCGAGACAAAGATGCTCGAGAAGGGAGAAATGTAGCACATCGGCACATTCTGTCGACAATGGATAACTGATGTACACGACGATCGAGGAAGACGTTACATGTTGGTGGTGCTGCAGGGCATATGGGTGGAATAAAGGATGTTAGCACCACCGAAAAATCCGCCCTTACGAACTTATGAGCCAAAAATGCGCAGACAGAATGATTAAAATGTTAAGTGATTGAGATTGAGAGGAAATTGCCATGTTCTTCTGAAATTGCCGTCTAAACACGTTTCGTGACGATATTGTGGAAAAAAATTTGACATGCAAGTTTGATAAACAATCATCACAAATCAATACACAATGTTACAACGCACGTTAAGGTTTATCACATGCGTCCTATAACGCTTTTATGACCATATGTTCAGACCTTTCGTTTCGTTTAACAACCTCTCAAATGCAATAACTCCAAATTCTTTTATGCTTTCTCGCCACAATCCCACCCACCCTATATATCTTCCCGAGAAGACGAATGACTAAAGATGTCTTCAACAAAGAAAATCACTTCACCATTTATTGCAGTGAGAAAAGTTTTCAAGTGCATGTAAGTGGATTTCTTCCTCTTGATCTGTGTAGTTTGAGAATTCTTCTGTATAATTGATTAGCATCGCCATTCTTATCAATTCCTCACTTCTATTTCAGCTCTTTTTCCTTTCTGTAAGAGATTTTCACTATGAAGAGTCGTCATTCTACACAGCACTTCTGCTTTTGGTATTGTGACACAGGGAGACATTACGAGAAAACTTTCTCAATCTCGCAAGCGTGAAGCTTTTATCTGCAGTCGGATAAAAATCCAGAATGATTTGAATATTGTCTTACCAGCACAAAACACAGAGACATGAAAAACGAAATAGAATTCTGGCGCGCCAAAAAATATCAGATTTGATTTCACCTTTATTTCCTATACCTTTCCCTCGAGGCTTTTCCCAAAGCCCACCTTCTGGCGCAGTGTATTCTTTTTCATGTGGGCTTTTCCTTTTCTCTTTCCGCACATCTTCCAGCGTCAAAATGAGCCATCGACAGAAATTTGAGTTCGCCTTTTCACCCTCCCACTCGTGACATTTATTTGCATTTTGTGCCAGTAAAAAGATACAGGGAATTATTGTAATAAAATCACAATAGCTACGAGTGGTAAAAAGTACAATCATTTTTTTCCCTTAATAATCGATTTTTTTTCTCTAAATTCTAATTTTCAGTAAGCAAATATACTCCTCCTTGTGGGGTTTTTCTTGCCCAGTAATTCCATGCGGAATTCAGTGTGAATATTCTCTATGCAAATAAAGTTTTATTCAGCATTTCATGGGAAATTCTCTCTCCATGGGATTATTTGAGGGAAATTCTATCCCCCTTTTTTGGGGTGTCTCTTTTTACCCTCTCAAAAGGGATAAACCGTTCAATTTTGTGGACAAATCTCTCGTATGCATTTCACTAAAGAATAAGAAAAAGCTTTTTCGATATTATCCAAAGCTTCTGCTAATATTACTCTCACTCTTCTCTCCCTCGTTAAAGCAAGAAAAAATGGGAAAAAGTAAACTCATGTCGGCACATGAGAGAAATGCCATGTTAAGAACTTGATGCTTCAGGCGTCCACATTGTTACCTCTTTTGTTGTGAATATAACACTCAATAAAACCCAAAGTTGGATGAGTGTCGGAACTTATTTAAAAATAACTATATTGAAATTCTGGAAATGTATTTCTTCGATTTCACAATTTCTAGCGATGGAATTTTAAATGCATTTGAAGCAATGAATTGGCAATCCTGATACTTTTATTTGGTTGCTTTCAAATCACTTGGTTAATGAAGTTTCACCCGGAAAAGTTGAAATGCTCCAATTTGAAAAATAAATCGCCAATCAATATTATTCTTTAGCATTATTTTGGAAAAATCGCTTAAATTTTTTTTTCAATATCGAATTATAAAAAAGCAATAACAATCAATAATAATTGCAGCTCGTTAAATATTGTATTAATTCATATCGTCACTGAGACTAAAAAGCAGTAATGCAGACACTTTTCCATTTGCACATAATTTTTTTTCTTCTCAATTGCAATGGAGTATGTTTTGGGAAAATGCAATTAAAAGAACGAGACTGAAAGTTAGTTGAGTGCAATTTTTGCGTATGTGCAAAGTTTTTAATTTTCACAACATACAAGTTTTTATAAGGGATGAAAGCACATATATGTACATATAGAGTGACATAGAATTTCTAGGGTTTTGATGAGAGCTGAAGTGAATAGCAGTGAAGGTATTGATGATATTGTGAGTGGATATTTCGCGTATTTGATGACTTGCTCCAATTAATCGGAAATGCCCCGGAGGGAGACCAATCAATGCGCAAAAATCCCTTCAATTTGATTATGATTGAGGAATATGTCAGTGGGATATTTAGGGGCGTTAATCAAATGCCACAGAAACTCATATTTTGCTCCTTCAATCCATGAAGTAGAGGATAAGACGAGAGATTTTCTTCAAAATTAATATCCAACCATCCGAATGAGATGAACAGATGCTGAGAAATATGCAGGATGAATAGGGACATTTCCTCGTGGCTTCCCCCCAACGAAATATGGCCCATAAATGCCAGAAGCCACATTTTTCTTCATCTCACTCCATCTGCATTAACAATTGCTCCATCATTGATTTAATTTACATCGCAAGAGGGACTTACGTGCCGCCTTCGAGGGATTTATCTGGGTCCGGCAGAGGTATTTTCTCACTTTTTTCGCTTTTTTTCTCTGTTCACATTTAACACATCCAGTGATGCCTACCCAGCACCTCAGCGCGGATGATAGCCGTTTTTCACTGTTTCTCTTTTGAAGGAACAACGCCTTTCCCGCACCGTTCAAATTGGGCCACGAAGCGAATGATAAATTTTTCACATGAAAGAACCAGACAAATGTCCATATAAATCACTTATGAAGTATTTAATGTGCTCACTTAATCGTGCACGTTGGAAAAAATCAATCTTTTTGGAGAGGGAACTTTCAAGTTTGTCGTCGAAGTTTGATGGCTCTTTTCCCGACGAAGAAGTTGAGGGTGTAGTTTGAAGCACAAACACTGTGGCTGAGTGATCTTCTCAAAAGACCGCTAAAGAAGGTTTTGCCAGGGATGAGAAAGTGCGTCCAACACCATCGATGGTCGCAGCGAGACTGTTATCGTTCACAGTTCATCGTCCCACAAAAGGGGAGAGCTTTTATGTTCGAAAGCACTGCTCTCGAGTGGGGATTTGCTTTCTCTCTGTCTCTCTCACTCTCTCTGTCTGTGAGAGGAAAAGCTGGGGAAAATTGTCGGCTGGTGAGAGAAAAATTACCTTTGTACTATAGATAAAATGAACAATATGCCCACAATGAAATTTCCACATTAGGGTGAATACATATCGCCCAAATGTCCCTCTAACGAGGGGGTTTCTCGGAGTCCAGCAATCTCTTTGTTTCCTCCGCAACCGCCAATAAAAGAAGAAAAAAAATTGTCCAGGAGAAGTGAGACAAGAAAGAAGAGAGGAAATCACACAAATATTTGTGTGTGATGCCAAAAAGAGAGTTCACCGCATGGTTTGAGGTGACGAATCTAATTAGGATTGCGATAAATTTCCTTGTTAGCAAATTGTTACTGAATTGGTACAATTTTCTCCCACAGAGAATTCCATTGATTAAACAGCAGAAACATACCACGCATCTCACCGTCTATTTATCAGGTAAATAAACTTCACATACACACTTATTTGCGGGGGATCAGATGAGGAGTGAAGAATGCTGGAGTCAATTGTGTCAATTTGATGTTTAATGGATTTTGGCGGATGGTGTGGGGATAAAATTGCACACAAGACAGTCTTTCGCATAATCATTGTGATACACTTCGCTGGATGCTAATAGACATTGATGGCAGTTTTGTTACAGAAGCAACATCTTATGTGACATTGGCATATGGAGAAAATATCCTTCTTCCCACACTGGGAGCGCGTGAGTGTGGAAAATTCGGCGAAAAACGACGCGCCGCAGGTGGATCAGATACACAACCAAGAAAAACATCTCCCTTTCACAAAATATAGACGCGAAAGTGATTCAGCACAATAACCAGACAGTCGCAAGTTCAATGGAAAAGGCACACATGAAAGGATTCCTTAATTTCCGCAAGCATAAGTTATTTGCTTTTTTCCTTAACCTGTTCAAGGTAATGTATAAGTTGTACTTTTGTTGGGTTGATCGATGAAATGCAAGTTGTTTTTTCTACTGCTGAATTACACATAAATCAACATAACAAAATCTTTAATGCCCTGAGTGAAGTTCTAATCCTGGGTCAAGATGAATTTCTCTGCTCGGGGCACGTTTTCCAGCGTGTGGAAAATGTTCACAAATACAAGAGTCTATCGACTTTACGGAGCGTGTATGGAGATTTTTCTGTGAGGGAAACTTTCTGATTTATTGCGTGGATGCTTAGCGACGGGGAAGTCTCCATCATCCCCTTGAGAAGGTGAGTGGCGTATTTGGAGTGAATATTTTCTTTTGTACTTGGAACCCGTCAAAGTGTATCACGTGTGTGTATGTGGGTCAAAAGACTTTTCCCTCTTCCATGACCACCAAACTGCCACACATGCTGTATTTGCAGAGGCGCCCAAAGCATTTCGCTGCCTCTCAACCGTAAACACACAACTTGCGGCGCAGCTTTCAAGTGACTACCGAGGAGCTTTTCCACACTAAATAATTTAATGATGTTAGTAATAAAAATCGTAAGAATACACAATTGACTCCCCGAGTCTGATTGTATTTGCTCAGAAATCTATTTTCGAAATCAAATTACAACTTTTGTGACTTTTCCGATGGCGTGAGGAGGGAAACAATCAATGAATTTGTGAAGGAAATACGAAAGCAGAGTGAAAACATATAGGTAGTGTTTGTTTCGACTGAAAAATAGTATTTCTCATTTTTTATTGCTTTCACAATGTGGCAAAACACCATTACCCATATGCAATTTATCTTTTTATATTTTAAAACATTTTGTTTGATAACAAAATGCTGTTAATATAGTATATGTTATTTGATTCACATTCTCTCCGTGGAAACATCAATTGGTGAGCATACAAAGTTGGGAAAATTTCAATTTAATGAATTTCTCATTAAGTGAACGCAAAAGGGAAACTTCCCCTCTGATATGTGGTTTAATTCATCAACTCTTTGTAATTTTATCGATAGAAGTGAAACATTTGCATGAGCTTTTTTGCTGGTATAAGTTTTGTACATTATGTGTGGTACTTGTAAGTTGTCTCTCACACAAGTATATATAGCGGTGGTTGCACAGCAAATTTCAACGTGACTGTGATGTACACAACTTTCTCTTCAAAGTGAGAAAATATTTATCGAGGAGTTTATGAGGCAAACTTTTGCGGGAGACTGTTTGAGTAGGAACTTCTCAAGCGATTCCACCCTGAAAGAATCTATTCAATCTATTACGAGTACATCAATTGAGATAAATAAAAGCGGAATGCCACGAGCCAATTGGATGAAGAGTACTTTCAAATTTTACAGGAAAATAATGAGTATGTTCTGCTCTTCACTCACTTTATTGTGTGTTACATCCCAATTCATAGGGCTTCACAATGCAATTCAATTAACCGAAAATCGCTTAAGGTATTAAATAGGACTTTCATAAAATGCCTTTCACATTCCGCTACATGAAATGAACTTGTGCTGAAAACTGAATGTTGCTGAAAATAGTGGAACATAATCCATGAATACACATCACCCTTGTGGAAATATTTGAGTATTGATAAAGGATTTCTTACAATATGCTTAAATGGTTTCTCATTGATTCCTAAAATACTTATAATAATATTGATTGATTGCTAAAACGGTATGAGACATTTCTAGAGTTAAAATTGCAAAGGTTCAATAGGCTACAATGGGTATACAAACTTTGGACACATAGTGAAGTATCCTTTCATGCTTCCGTTTACGCAATGTCACTTTGCCACACATCAGAAGGTGGGTGATAATGATAGTAGAAAACAACGTGTGTATTTTCCGTTGTGCAAAATGCTTCCACCTTGATGAATTTTGCACAGTATCGTTGTCACGAAACTGTTTATGTTATCTTCAGCACTGGTAGTTAAGGTAAATATTTTATGCGGTGTGTGAGCGAGGAAAGTGGTTGAACTTGATGATTTGCAACTCGTTGGCTCTATTGAGAAGTTGTGTAAAGTGTTGTTGCTAGAAGTGTGAGGGATGGTCTTGTTTACCGGTTTCGTGGAAAACCTGCTGACTCTCTGTGGCCATACCTCGCCGGCAGCGCGAGAAGCCGCAATGAAGCGGTGCAGAAGGGCAAATAAGGGACATCTTCGGCATTCTGCCTTTTCCGCTGTAAAGAATGAAGTCACCCGAAAGATTCATCAATGTATAGTTGCAATATTGCGGCATCAATTTCCGGAGAAAATACATAACTTATATATCAAGAACGGAGTTCATTACTTCCATTACAACAAACTTTCTGACGCATCTCAAAGACTTTGTACACAGGAACATGTTTTCCAACTAAATGAAATTCCATGGTGTTGTTGATTGCCTGTCAAAGGACAGAAACTCAGCGATGTAGAGAACAGGGATTGATATTAAAGTGTGGCTTTTCAATCGTTCAGCGTTCAGTGGCAAAAAATCCCTGCCTCTTTATTCTTCACCGTGGAAACCATTCCTCTTGAGTTTCACCGGGGGAGAAAAGAGGCTTACATTTTCTTTCATCGCTCCAGCTATACCAATTATTTTCGGATAAAATTTTACCCCCAATTTCACTGAATTGTTTTTCTCACTTTACCGTTGGGGCATCTTAATTCTCCAGGTAGAACAATGGCGAAACAGTCCCCAAGGTTAACCATGTAAACATTTCTAAGAAAACTTTTGACATCAACAGGAAAAGACCACGTTCTACCACAATTATATCCATCTACTCTTGTCACTTGATGTTCACTATAAGTGCAAGTTTCTAGGAAATTCATGAAGATATTTACGTGAATTGATTTGACATTCACTGAATACTTGCATGAGCTTATGAAAGAGGACTTCTCAGAAGAAATGTCCAACAGTTTTTGTCGTTTCTTTGTCCTTATGCCATAGCAACTAATCCATCAAATACAAAACTTGTTTTTGAATTTCAAAGAGAAGACAAATTCAAAGCGATACTTTTAATCACGTAAAAGGAACATGGATTATTTGTTAAAATGAAGCGAACAAATCTCTTACGTTTTTGCCTCTTATATTAGCTTTAAAATCATTCCAGTCGCAATTTGAATAAGTTGAACAGTCAATTTAAAACCTCAAACCATATTTCTGAGGGAATATTTCGAAGGATTGCCCATTTACCCCCTAACAGTAACCACTTTTGATACCATTTGCATATAGTCTTGTTAATAAGATCTCACGCTCAGGGGAAAATTAGTTAGAAAGTTTATGCACTTAACTCCACTCGAGCTTCTGCATAATCTGCCATGTTAGTCTGAATGGCTTCAGCCACGTAATTGCTATGGTACATCAGCAACAAGATGGATAAAATTCGGATGAATGTAACTTTCTTCCCATTCAGATTCACTACGAACTATACGAGATACTTGAAGTTGAGAGCTCTACAAACAATCTATATAGTTTTGATGATAATGTTATCAAATAATATCAGAATTCTTCCTTTCTTTTTCAAAAGATATACGGGAGAAGTGCAACACGATGAGTATTTCGAATTTTCCACCCACTCACTCATGTATAATGTATACGCGTCAAGACAATGGGGAATATGCAATAAAGAATCACATAAATTGCATCTGCTGTTGTAAATTTCATATTGATTGTTCACCAAGCGTCGGGAAAAATATGTATGAGAAAGTGATGAGAACGTAGAAGACTTAACAAAGTGCTTGAACTTTATCACTCTAAACAGCATCTTGAAGAAAAAAGCTCAGTAAATTACCATGTTTAGTAAAGTTGTAAGACAGCAAGGATACTTCATTGTGGCAATGGAATCATGAATGAATAGGAATTTATTGTATAGAGCATCAGAACATTTTGTAGTTTAATAAATTTAACTGAATATTTCAACTTAATTTTCTCAGAAGCAAAGATAAATTAGATGAATACAAAAAATATTTAGTCTTTTTAAGCAAATTGGGATTAC